AGCATATATACATGTAACTATTTTAAATTATTAATAAAGATATAAGCAAGGCCTCACTTTAATACCAAAAAAAAAAATTATTGCAAAATAATTTTAAATATTTTGAATTATTTTGAAATATTTTGAATTATTTCATAATATTTTAATAGTTTTAAATATTTTTAAATTTTATTTTTACTAAATTTTTATAGCTTTTAGAGAAATTTAGATTATTGCAGAGTACCTTAACTACCAAGATTAAAAATGCTATGTTTGCTGTATTTGGAAATCTCTAACCTCTATTAATAATAAAGCAAAACCTGAAATTGTTTTTAAGTGAAAACAATCTAAAGAAACCAAATCTTATTATAAATAACTTTTTAAAAATACTTCTGAAGACTCAGAAGATACTTATATGTCACTTATATTAAACAAGATTTGGCTTTCTGGCAATGCAACTTTAGAAAAAGTTGCATATACTATAGCAGTTTGTCAAACTATGCTTGATCCTATGCAAGATAGTTTGATAATTTCTGAAAGCATTATAAAACATAAACTTTTAAGAAATTTGGTATATATTTATTATATTATTATAAAATTTTTACTTATATAATCAAAATTTTTTTATTATTAGAGAAAGTTAGAAAATAATAAAAATTTTTTAACATTAGACACAAAAGATGATATATCAAGTTCTAAAGAAAGCAAAACTTCAGAAAACTCTGAAAAAGTATAATTTTATGTTTTATATTTAAAACTAATTTAAAATATTTTAAATATTTGCATATAATTATATATAATCTTAAATATTTTAATATTTTGTAACTTTTTTTATAATTTTCAGAATATATCAAATGTATAATTAAATATTTAAATATTAGTCTTTTTATATTGGTTATTTAAATATTTTGAAAAAAATTTTTTATCAATTATTAATTTATTAAATATTTTTCTATTTTATCTTTCTAAATATTTTTAGAATATCTTGGCAAGTTGCAATAAATGAAAAAATATTTTACAAGAATCTAAAATAGGTTGTATTATTTTAAAATACTTTTTTTATTGTTAATATTAATTACAATTAACAAAATTTATTAGACAAATAAAAGACTAAAAGAAGGTATGATCATTAAATTTCAACTATTTTATCATTATAATTTGCAGTATTTTAAGAATATTTCTATAAGTCTAAAAATTTTTAATTATTTTTATATATTTTTGCTTATTTTTAAATATCTTGTAATTTTTTATTATATTTTAAAATTATTCACTAATATTTTTAATATTTAATTTAGATTTATCTAATAAAAATTAAGATACTGAAAAAGAATTGTAAAACTTTTTTATTTGTATTATTTTTTAATAATTTTTCTTTTTTTAGCTAAATTTAAGTGAATTAAAATACAGAAATTTGATATTTAAATAAAACATTTTGTTTTTTTGTTTTATTTACTAATACATCTTTAGTTGTTTTACAGATTTTTGAAACTTTTGAATTACTTTGAAATTTTTTACAAATTTGTAAATTTTTATATAGATATTTCTTTTTTTTTATTTTTTTTTATTTTTTATTTGTATTTGATATATAATCAATTAAATAAGTTAATACAAATTAAAAATAATTAAATTTGCTTAGTTAATAATCAAATAAAAAAATCAATTAAATATATTAAATAGCAAAATTTCAAATAAAATAAAATAAATTTATCAATAAAAATTATTTTGAACTTTTTTAATTATTTCAAAAATCTTTTGAATATTTTAAATTATTTTGAAATTATTTCAACTTTTTAAAATATTTTAAATTGTTTTAAATATTTCTAATAATTTTTGAATTATGTTTTCATTTTTTTAGTTATTATTTTTTAATATTTTGTAAAATAGCCAAAATTTTTTTAAAATTATTTTATTTCTTTCACAATATTGTGAAATTATTTTATTTCGAAATAATTTTGCATCAATCGCAATTATTTTGAAATATTTTCAGTATGCAAAATCTTACACAATATTTTGCATATTTATTCTGCTGATGATATAAACTTGCAATTTGTTTTATAGTAATTAATTCTATAATAAGTTTCAATTATCTAAATTTCTATATAATATTATACTTATTCTAACTGTTCTTGCTATCTTTAACTTATTTTTTGTTAGTCTTAGAATTAGGTTTTGAATATTATTTATTATTTTTTTTAAGAACTTGGTTACTTATAACATGTAATTAAGCTTTGATACTATGTATATATTATTATATATGCTACTTGCACAATGGTTATTTTTTTTTCTTTTAATTCTTTTACTATTAAAAATACTAATTCTCTTGTTTTTGCCTTTATTACTGTTTTTTTTAGCCTGTTGTTTAGCCAAATTTCTAAAAATTTTGTTATTTTATCTTTGTCTTCTTTAGGATAGTGTCATTTATCAGGTAATTTTTTAGTTGGAGGAGTAAAAAAAATTAAAATTTAATATAATGAACCTAATCAAATATATATTAAAAAAAAGAGAAGAAGGTACCCCTCTGATAAAAAAAAATCAGATGATAAATAACATGACCCTTATATATTCATTTATTACTAAACTTAATTTTTTTTTTGTTTCTTTTGAATTTATAATTAGTAATTTGGATTTTTTTCATTTATCTATATATTATTAAATTTGAAGAACTCTTCTGTGATTTCAATTATTTGTTTTATTTGCTCTTTGTATTTTGCAATCCAAGTTGTATCATCTGCAAATGCTACTGTGACTTGTTTTCATTTTATCTTTAATGTATGTTTAAGATTTTGGTTATATAGTAACTTTACTGATACTGCATATTCTAGACTAGTATTTTTTTGTACTTGTTTTAGTAATAGATTATAAAATATTTTTTATACAAAAGGTAACAAAACCTCATCTTGTTCTATTCTATCCTGAATTTGAAATGCTTCTATATGCTTTTAATATGTAATAACCTTTGATTTTTTATTTGTAAACAAGTTTAAAATTAGCTTATTGTTGTTTTTGGTAGTTTAATTCTTTGTATTGCCAATTTTAATATCATGAATAATATTGAATCAAATGCCTTTTTTATGTTTTGAAGAACTAATTAGAGCTTTTTATTATTATTTTTCATATTTTTTATTATCATGTTTATAATATAAACTAGCTTTTCTGTTAAGTTTCCTAATAAGTTTATGAAATTTGAGCCTTTCAAGATATATTTCTTGCAAAGCATTTTTATTAATCTTTTAGTTAGAACTTTTATTGTGCACTTGCAAAAGGTTTTAAATAATGCAATTGACCTTATATTATTTAGATTATATTGCCAATTTGTTTCTTTTGATATTGAATATATTTGTATAACTTTCCACTTTGCTGACACTTTTTCTGTTTTAATGCAGATTTCTATAAATGTTCTAAATAGATTCTAAACTTTGAATTTTACTGCTTGCTTGTCTTAATATATATATAATTTCTGATATTTCTGATACTATATCTTTCTTTAGATTTGCTAGCATTTTAGTTCACTTTTTTTCTAAAATATTCTGATTCACTTTTTTGTATTAGCTTACTTGAACTGTTTCTCTTGGCTTGTAAATTTCTTTCTAATTCTTCTTAAAGATTTTATATTTTACTTGTCTAGGTCTGAACTGGTTTTGGTAATGTTCTTTTATTTCTTCTAATATCTTTAGTAGTTTTGTAATTAATTGTCTTATATTATATTTTTTTTAAGCAGTCTATCAATTTGAATTTTGCTATATAGTTTGTCTAAAAGGCTTGTTAGCATTTTTTCTTACTTTATATTTATTTTCATACACCTTTTTTTAATGTTTTTTTAATTTTTTTTCTTTTGAGCTTTTGAATTTTATATGCTTGCCTTGCATAAAGAATTTGTTATTAGCCTTTGAGGTTTAATATTAGTTTTTTGAATTATTGATCTTGTGCTTTTTTGATATATACATCATGCTGCTAGTTTATATATTCAATTTTCTTATTTAGCTTTTCTATATTCACTTTTAACTATTTTATTTCAATATTTTTCTTTTTTATTGCTATTTTTGATTTAGTATGATCATCATAATTTTTATAATTTTAATAAAAAATATTTGACTATAAAATTAACCAATCAAATTTATTTATATTTATTATAAATTAATTACTAATTAATCTATAGCTTTAATCATGTATTACACATTTTATAATATCTGATTTATCTCTCTATCTAATAGGTACTTGCTATTCTTGTCAAAATTATCTTTTATGTTTCAAAAAGTCTTCTATATATTCTTGTAACTGCAATCAAAAAACAAAACCAAAAGCAAGCAATCAATCAAATAAAAAAACTATTAGAGTTTATTCATGAAAATATATACCAAATAACTTGTTACCTAGTCAAGAAGAATTTTTCAAACAAGCAGATGATTGTTTTGGTTATAGTTCTAATTTTAACCAAACTTTTAGTGTATGCTTTTGTAGCACATGTCATAGCAAATATGAACATATCAAAAAAGTTAAATCAAATACTACAGATATTAAAAAATTGAATACTGCAAACACTAAACAATCAAAGTCTTCTTTACATAATAATAGTACTAATTATGATTCAGAACTTAAATTTAAGTTATTTGTTGAAAATAAAAATGAAAATATATTATTTGGAAAGAGTATTATGACTAAATTAGTAAGCTTTGAAGAATTTAAGGAACTTATTCAACAATGAATATGCAAAATCAATAATAATTATTCAATTGTAATGAGCAATTACTCATTATCATATAAAGTAAAACATAGTCAAACTGGTGCAATAATTTTACAAGATAATGATAATTAGAAAGAGTTTCTCAAATTATATAAATCAATAATTATTGATAAGATTATTTGTGTTTGTGTTACAATGAATAAGCAGATAAAAAAAGAAAACAGAAGTTAATGATGATAAATAATTTTTTATTTATCAAGATAAATTATATTTTACTAAATGCTTATTATTGTATTGTAGAAGCTTAATTTGAAAATGTCTAATGAGCCTAAAAGCAAAGCTTTATATATTTTTAATAATAATAATGCTGATAAAGATAAAATAGATAAAGCTGATCAGATTACAAAACTTTGCCAAAAATAGGAGTGCAAAATTTGTAATATAATTTGTTATATTGATGGTGATTGCCATTTAGAATTAACACTCTATCAATTACAAATGTGGGCAAAAGATATTGTAATTTGTTTTAAAAATATATATCAGTACTTTATATTATACTTTTCTTAGTATAATTATAATTTATTTAATAGATCAAGAAGAATACTATGATTGATACTCCACCTGTTTATCTTATTTTTAATATATCTTATAGGTAAATTGTTCAACCACAATTTTCTTCACAATTAACAGATTTAAATAATACACTACTATATGGCATGTCTTATGCTTCTCAACCTCAAATAATCTATTATCTTGCCCCAGTTCATTCTGCAAATTCTTATGGTTTATCTGGTTCGCCAAATATAGATAATTCTTTTACATCAGCAATTCATTCTTCTAAAATAGTTTACGAACTTTTTTAGAATTAAAAGTAATAAATAATGAATCAGGATCTTATACACAATTTGAAAGAATATTTGAAAATGAAAAAATTCATTAGATATTATTAAAGAACTTTCCAAATCAGATTTAATTAAATTAGGAGTAAATAAGATGAGATGGCACAAAAAAATAATAAAGCTAGCTCATAAATATTAAGATACATTGCAGATTAGTTTTTTTTTAATTATACTATTATAAGCATGTCTAAAGTTACACAAAATTTTTTTTATTATACTGTGTTAATATTGCTTTATTATAATAATATTCATAATTCAAATTTTAGAATAAAGATTTATATTTTATATAATGAGAAAGCCAGATTTAAGTTTTCAAATTATAATTACTGAACTTATAATATTAGATTTTAATAAAAATTAAGTTCAATAAGTTATAATTTTAAATGCCCGAAGTCTAGTTTTCACCTATTGTATTGTAACAATTGTCATAAGCAATAATAACATATTTAAGAGTATTTAGAACATGATTTTGAAATAAAATATCGTAATTTACTATGGAAGATACCTTCTTTGATCAGTACTACTTGATTTGTACTGGGTATATTGCAGAGTTATTTGTTGTAGTATTTTGTAAAGTACTTAGATACAAATCAAAGACTGATTTACTAATAATAATTTTTTTTTACTTAGGGTTAGGGTTAATATTATGCTTCACACAATGTACCCTATACCATACAAGGTACTCAGGATACGAATCAAATTTTTACCACATGAAATTAAATCATACCCAGGTATCTTGCATAGTAAATTACAATAAGTTTAAAATAAAAACACCTTATAACTAATCTTAATAATTTCATTTAGAGCTTTATTAAAAATTCTTTGGCTTTTTTCATAATATATAAACTCTATTTAAACTAGTACATTTGAGTAATTTAAGTATATTTACTTTGAATAAATCAAAGCATTAAAAAATGCATTAGCCATATTACTTGTAATATGTGCGCAAGCTACTTCTAACATATAAACTGAGTTATCAGAACTATCAAAAAAATCTCTATGATGTTTAATCTAGGTCTTGATTGAAGAAAAAGCAGTTTCTATAGGATTAAAGTCAGGAGAGTAAGGGGGGAGAAATTCAACCTACCTACCCAAACTCTCAACCAACCTTACAAGCTCTTTATTATAGTGAATTTGTGCATTATCTATAATGATAACACTATTTTTTTCTGGGTATGAAACCATACAAAGAACCTATGTATGTTGAAATTTATATAGTATTTAATATGATATAAATGCAATTTATTTTAAATATATATAAATGGTTGTTATATTATGATGTTCAATTAGTTTCAATTTTTTTTAGACATGTATTCAAAAAAAATTAAAACAAATTGAACATTGTAACATAATAGCCTTGTATACAGACCACTTGATCTAAAATAAAATCTACAAATTGCTTTCTATCACAACTACCTTTAATAATATCTAATGCAATGATTTTATCAATCATAAGTGCTAGAAGAATTGTATAACATTTTCCCCTAACAAACACTACTTTTTTTTGGACATGACTATTGACAGAAAAATACCTATAATAATGTGTTAAGCTTCTTTTATTCTTAGAACTTTCATTAAGAAAAATTAATTGGTCATGAGTATAATTTTTTCTAATTTTGGCAATAAAAAAACTACAAGCATGTTCATTCCTTTCATGAGCAGCTTTATGCAACTAGTGACCATATTAGTAAAATAATAAATTAAATAAATAAGTATTACCAAGTGAGCACCTAATATCTAAAAAAATATTTTTTATGCAATGAAGTTGTGATCTTTCAAAAGTTTTCAATGATTATACATCATATAATCATTGAAAACTTTTGAAAGATCACAACTTCATTGCATAAAAAAATTATTTTTTTAGATATACTTTGTAATACTAAAATAGTGAAACTTATAATCATGCTAACCTTTTTACATATAATTCTACAATATCTTAAAGACTACCATAAAGAAGCTACCAAAGCATGTTTTCTAGTTATTCTTTCCATTTCATATACTAATTCATCAAGGTACCAATTAACTTTTTCATACACTAATTGCTTTAAAATTACTATATCTTCGCTATTAAATAATTTTTAGTGCCTAGATAACTTCTTGAAAGGATTAGTAACACAGTCCTAATAGTGAAAGTTTTGAAGAATTTTGCTTATAGTGGATTGGCTTATATACAAAATATTAGTGATTTTATGTTCAGAAAACCCATCATCATAGAGATAAACTACTTTCCAACACAGATCTTCACTTAATTTTCAGCCCATATTTGCTCTAAGCTGATTTATTCTAATATAATCAAGAATAATCTAGTATAATTAAAATAATCTTATATAATTGAAAATTAAAAAAAGCCATAATGCAGTAAATACTTACTAGACTGAAAGCAAAGTTAGCTTGGCTTTGGCACAAAACTGTTACCTTGAAGCTAGAAATTAAGTTATATAAAATAAAAATCATTTATTGCATAATTTTTTCTTATCAGGTTATTTTGTATTTACTATAGTCATGTAAAATAATATAAATATGCAGATTGCATTAAATTGAAAATAGCAATAAACTAATTCATCTTTCTAATTATGTAAGTGTTTTTTCTAGTTTTGATTCTCTTGCTCTCTTCTTTTTGTTTGCTACTATATTTAGAATTCATTTTTTAAACAATGTTTTCTTTGCTGCTGCATTACTTATAGTGACTTACTACTTGTCTAATCTCTTATTTTTTTTATTAAACAATTCTTTTTACTAAGACCTATTATAGTTTTAGTAATATAATTTTTCTTTTAAGTTGTGCTTCAAGTTTATTTCTATAATTGTTTCAATTTTTTTTTATTGATTTGTTATATAGCAGTACTGTTCTTTAATGATTTTCTTTTTTAATTTCTGTTTTTCTATATATTGCAATTAGGTAATTTAAATCTATTCTTGCCATAAGTGCTTTATAATCACTATTTGTCCAAATATCTATTTCTTGAATTTCTATATCTAAAAGTTTATTAACAAGCCCTTCTGTAAATTATATATAATCAATTCTTGTTTCTTGTTCTCTACTTGACTATGTAAATTTTTTTTCTTTTAGATTAATTGTTTTATAGGTATCTTGAAACTTCTGTTTTGATACTATTTAATTAATAGGTTTTGCTTTTTAAATTTTGCTTAGACTTCTGCAATTTATTTAGCTCTGTATTTACTATATAGTTTAGATTATTTATTACTACTATTTGAATTCTTGCTATGCATTTTATATATTTTTCTACTAGTGTTTTTTGTATAATTAATCTTTCTTCTTTGTTGTTAGATGAGGTATATATCATAATGATTAAGATTTCTATTTGTTTAAATATAAAATTAGTTAAAATTATATATTTACTTATTTTATCCATTTGGTCTAAATGTTTTTTTCATTGTTTGCTAATTAAAAACCCTATATTTAAACTTTTTTTTTTGCTTGAGTTCATATCTACCTAAAAAATTTTATACTTATTGCAGTCTTTGGTTAAAATTTTTTTGTCTTTTGCTATAATGTTCATTTTTGTCAGTTCCAATACATTAATATTGTTGTCTAATATCTATATATAATGCTTATATCTTTTAATTGTGCTTTTTAGACCATTAATATTATATATTACCAAATTTAATTCTATACTATTTTTAGTATAAATTCTTTCTATAAATATTTTTTTCTTGTTTTCTATTATGCTTTTTTTTCCTTTTTAGCTTTTTTACTATTACTAGTTTGTAAAGCTTTAATCTGTATTGCTTTTTGCTTATGTTTTTAATTTTCTGAAAAGAAGACTGTTTTTATATCTGGTTTTTTTAATTCAACTATGACAAGTTTTAGAAATAATTTGCCAAACTCTTTATTATTGTTTCTCTTGCCTTTTTTAACTTTTTTAGTCTATCTAAAATTTTAATTAGGATGTTTTTTATATTTAAAGTTTTTTCTTTAAGTTGGAGTTTGAGTTTGTTTATTCTTTTTACTAAGCTTTCTTCTTCTGCTGTGTTATCTATTAAATATTCTGTTTGGTTTTTTAAGTCTTGCTCTTTGTTTTATTATTATTTTTTGCTGTCTTTTGTATTGTTTTTCTTAATTCTAAGGTTCTTTGTCTTCTGTTTTTTAACTCTGATATT